TGTCTGTCTGTCTATGTCTGTCTGTCTATCATCTATCTATCTATCTATCTATCTATCTATCTATCAATGTCTGTCTGTCTGTCTATCATCTATCTATCGTCTATACAAAATTATATATTTTTTATAATTTCATGTATCTATCTATCTATCTATCTATCTATCTATCATCTATCTATCTATCTATCTATCTATCTATCTATCCTGTACATTTACTGTATATCTGAGTACTATGTATAGTTACATACTGTCAAATTCCCCAGTTACTGTTCTAAGACTGTGGTTTTGTTTTATGCAACATCTGGTGTGTAAATGCATTAGCGCAGAGTCTGTCTACACTCCTGGCATGAGGACGAATGTAGAGGAAAGGTTGATAGCCAGAGACAAAAACACGTAGCCCCTGTTGTGTGTATCTGAAGGGAGTGTTTTCTGGCTGGAAAATATTCAAGAGCTATTTCCTCATGGGCAAAGCACTTCCATCCATGGGTGTGTATTCAGAATAGCATTTCAGTTATGTACGATCCAATCCAAATGGGCAAAGTGAACGTGCTGGTAACCATTTACAGTATGTCTACAGTACACTTACAGTATTCTGTCATATGGATCAATTTATGGATACCATATTTTGGTTGGGCAACGAGGTCCAAAATTCCACTAGTGAAAATGCTTCTATTTAGTATTTTTCCAAGAATTTTTTTCTTAAAAGTTTTGCTAAATTAATATATGCAATACAAAAACATTAACGAAAGGCAGAGAATAAAATAATATATGAAAAAACTCAGAAAGGAGTTGCCCTGTCCATTGTCATCCATGCAGGACCACATGTGTGCAGGGATGGAACTGACTCAAGGCCGAGATCAGCAATCCTGGAACCATTAAATCAGGCATAAGCAACCTGATGCGGCTGTTTACTCACTGTGCAGCTGTTCCTCTTTATAGCACTCTCTCAAAAAGGAACTGCACCTCTCCTGACCCCCCTCTGTCTCGCTCACGTACTCGCTCCATTTCCAGCTCTTGAACTTGAACCTTACTCAGAAATCCAGAGTTGACTCGCATTCTCTTGATTTTTCTATATGTTTCTGTAAGCTGGAGTGAATTGTGTAATGCCATTGCATGATGTTGTTTGAGGCAAATACATCAGTGGTTGAAGCCCACTGCATAGGTCAGAAAGGAAGGCGTCTCTGAACCTGTGCTGGCATTTATCTCTTTGCATTTGCTGAGCAGTTTAAAGTGAAAATGTCAGACAGTCATACTAAACAGCGATGCAGGCTGTATAGATTTATGTATATTTGTGTTAACATCTGACTGACATTTATGTTCAGTTAAGCTAATTATGATTAATTCACCTTAAATATTACTATTAAAAACAGCTTGTGTGTTGTTGTTGTTTTTTCTGTTGTAAAACATAAAGAATATTTTTGTGAAGTTATTTTATTTTTGCCATAGCCCAGTTATCTTCAGTTTCTCCAGAGTAATGTGAGTGGTGCACAGGTCGTCCTGCTGACTAATGCTGCTTACCACCAGGGACTCTATTCTGTGATTGACAGGTATGATATGAGCCTTAATACTTCAAGTCAAAGTTGTTTAAAAGTTCTTTCCCTTTAAAAATTTAAATAAACTATTTATAGGTTGATTTCCTTGAAAAATACAGACACTGTGCAATCAAAACATTGCTTTGTTTGTTTGAGCATAGCAACATAGGCTGAACCAATGGGAGTTTGGGGCATGACTATTCGTTCTGGTCAACCAATGGTGGGGGAGGGTTTGGGAAAACCTGATTATTTTTGTTATTGCAAATCTGTTTGGTGATTCTAGTGTTAAGGAAATGACACACTTCACCTTTAACATGGTAATCAGCAAACACAGTTAATACATGAAATTAAATGAAATTAAATTTAAATTAAATTAAAAGGGTTGGAACTGCATCAAGGACAACATCAGCAATCCTGGGAGCATCAAATTAGAGAATCAGACACCTGATATGGTTGTTTACTCACTGTGCAGCTGTTCCTTTTCTTAGAGCAGTCTCAAAAATGATCTGAGTCTTTCCTGACCTCCATCACGTACTCTTTATGTCTCTCTGTTTCCACCGCTTGAACTCTACCCTAGTTTCAGAAATCCACCCAAGCAGAGCGTGTGTCTCCTAGTCTTTGCTTTTTCTGTGAGATTCGTTGGGTTGCACACTTGTGATTCCATTACGTGATATTGTATGAAAAGCATTGCATACTGTCAGCTATGATTTGCCATTCACTCTTGCTTTTGTAGAGAAGATTAAAATGAAAATGTCAAACTGTTACATTAAGATGCCATAGTATTGATTATTCCAGCCATCAGCTAATCATTTCCAAAATCCAGTTGTCTTTGACTTCTTTACTGTTATGTGAGAGAAGTACAGTTTGTCCTGCTGACTATGCTGTCTGCTTCAACAGAGAGAGAGAGCGGGGCTCTGCTGTGATTGACAGATGCAACATGGGCCTTGGTATTTGTTTTACACACTGTGGTCTAGAATGTGAAGCATTTTGTAAAAATGCATTGAGATTATGTCAGTGGGATATGTTATTAATAGAATCATGCAGATAATTCATATTAAAAACAACATTATTTAGCACACATGATGAGGATGGATAGCTTGCTTTGATTGATAAACTGCTCAAAATACTAATACTTATACTTAAATACTTGGTATTTGAACAAACCCCTAAACCCAAAAAAGTACACTTTGGCCATATAAACTGTCTTGCGTAGTTTAATGATGCCACAAATCATGTATATCAAGCATTTTTTAACCAATTGGACTGAAATCACTTTGAATTAATCCAATAAACTTTGATCGAAGGACTAAAGGAATAGCCCAAGCTACAGTATTTTATATATCACAGACCAGTGCTCTTACTTTGACTTATTTTGGCCAATGCCTTACCAACCACCCAGAATGACCTATAGCACCCTAACAATATTCACAACAATATTTGATGTAGATATTTTACGTAGGTATTGACGTTTTACTTTTATTTTTTGCACTGTGTTAGTTATTTTGATTCTTTCCAGTAATTCGAATCTGTTTACTAAAAATAGTTCTTCATATTCGGTGAGTGATTCAGTTATTCTTTCTTCAGGTATAGGCCTACATCGTCACGGCAGTAGGCGGGGATGCGTGTAAAATAGTGTGTTTTTGTATAATTAACTCATTCACAACCGATTCGTTAATACCGAACAAGTTTTATTAATTTTAATTTCGCAGTTCATTCGTGCTGTTCACGAACAACATCAGATTCAAAACGTTCAGATAAGGGGCGTAACCGTTCAGCAGGTTCATCCAATTAAATGTCTGTTCACAAACAGCATTTAAATGCCATGTGTCGAGCCCTAGTAGTGAGTCTTTGAAGGCTTTAATGAACAATCGAGATTCGTTTACTTAAGGATTCATTTAAAAACGTTTACGGACGAAACACCGCTGATACTTTGAATGTACTGTAAGTGTCTTTGGATAAAAACGTCTCATACATGTATGAATGACTATGCAGATTTACTCCAGACTGAAATTACAACGTTTGGGTAGAGGCCAGTCTATTAAAGGGACGTGGCCTTTAAAAAGGCTGATCAGGCCATTTAAAGCAGTCTTTATGTTATCTGACTAAAAAACTATTACTTTGAACTTTTTTTATTACAGTATTTATTTTTAAAACGTAGGGTGCCTTAAAAATAATGATCACAACACTGATAAAACAGGCTTATACTGATTTTCTCATCCTCCGATTTATAGACTACTTATCAATCCTGTTTGTATCATCATTATAATTAAAAAAATGAATAAATTCAGAACAGGATTATAATATAATTCTATTTTAAATAAGACAGAAATATTTTTTTCTACAACAACAACAACAACAGTAGTGTTTACAACAGCAAAACCACCATACCCTGTAAACTCAATAATAATAATAGGCCTAATTTAATTCTGTTTCTATTTTCAGAGTGATTAAGAGGTGCAAAGAACTATTTATTTAACTTTTAAACTTAAAATGGTCTTGCCTGCGTCACGGCATTTGCTGCTATCAATACAGAAGCAAAGAGCACAGCCCTATTAAAATCCGTGCTCCATGTTCCCCTTTTATACTTTGTGCACCTGCCCCTCCAAAGGTCTCTGCAGGCCCTGCCAGGCCTAGATGGAATTTCGATTGAAAATGAATAATAGGCCTAATTTAATTCCGTTTCTATTTTCAGAGTGATTAAGAGGTGCAAAGAACTATTTATTTAACTTTTAAACTTAAAATGGTCTTGCCTGCGTCACGGCATTTGCTGCTATCAATACAGAAGCAAAGAGCACAGCCCTATTAAAATCCGTGCTCCATGTTCCCCTTTTATACTTTGTGCACCTGCCCCTCCAAAGGTCTCTGCAGGCCCTGCCAGGCCTAGATGGAATTTCGATTGAAAATGTGCAGGATGAGTTTAAATATAGTACAATGTGTTAAAGGAATAGTTCACTAAAACATGAACATTTGATGAAACTTTATTATCCCTTAGGCTATCCAAGATGTAGATTAATTTGTTTCTTCATCAGAAGAGATTTGGAGAAATGTAGCATTACATCACTTGCTCGCCAATGGATCCTCTGCAGTGAATGGGTGCCGTCAGAATGAGAGTCCAAACAGCTGATAAAAACATCACAGTAATCCACAAGTAGTTCACACAACTCCAGTCCACCAATTAACATCTTGTGAAGTGAAAAGCTGTGTTTGTAATAAGCAAATCATCACTGAGATGTTTTTAACTTTAATAACTATTGCTTTCTGCACTAAAAAAGTTGTTTTGTCTGAATCACGAGAGACATACACACCCTTTACAAGTGGAAACAGTTCTAAACAAATATGCTGGTGGATTTTGATGTGAAAAGACAACAGGGGATGAGCTTTATAAACTCATTCTGACGCTGATTGCTTCACAATGTGTAACAAAAAATACGATTTTTAATTTGTCTGTTTTTAGTCTGTGATATGCGAAACAAAGTAAATGGTTTGTGCAATTAGCTTGGCATTTCTTTGCAAGCATGCTGAACTTAGACACATTATTTGATAGATGTATTGATTTTTAAAATAAAACAGGATTTAAACATTTTTGATTTCGGAATATCAGCCTATTTGCATGTCCCAAATCACCACAGTTACGTTTTAATGCACTTAATTTAATTAAAACTTTGAATTGAAATTCTTAAAATGGAACACATTGATGTCAGATTTTTGGCCATTTTGTTCTCCGTAGTTCTTTGTTATAAAAGCACAGACTGTAAATGTGGTGTGGTGCAATTATATTTAAGAACAATTTTAATTTGATACTAATATTTAATATTAAACTATTGGTACACTGTAGACAATTTGTATAGTTTGACCACTGAATTTTGCTCTCTTATGGTCCCTACATTTTCTGCCAAAATGGCACTATTTCCTTAACATAAGCATTCTGTACATTATTATTGACATTTGTCATTAACCCTGAGCTCAACAGTGTAGCTAGACTAAAATCAGGGTATCTTTGACTTAATTGAGCATTCTAGATTTCTCCTCTCTGATTGTTGGCATTGAGTGTGAATATATCACTGCAGCGACTTCATTTGACTGCTCTTATATGTCAGTCATCTCCGGCTGCTGTAATCTTCCACTGGAGATGAACTGCTATCCGCTCCCTTGAATAAAAGCCCAGACTTATTCCTGGAAGGATTCCTCTGCCTGTCGTCTGTAAAGCACGCCTGAGTCAGCTACTAAATTCAGCTTCAGCAAATTTGCCCAACCAGTGGAGTGTTCTCAAGATGAAGAGTCACGTCAAGAACAATTCTTTCTCCTCTGTTGACCATTTGCTCAAAAGAACATGACATTTTCTTTCTATTTGGATTCTTTTCAGGTGTATCTGGTCAAATGAGATTCCAGAGACGTGAAAGAAAGATTCATACACAGTAAATCAAAGGTAATGAGAGTGAGACCTGTGATTCAACTTAACCAAGGACATTTACTGTTATACTTTAATTGCCTAAGACACACACACACACACATATATATATGTACACATTAACAGTGTGGAGGACAACACAGTAAAATCGAAATGATTGTGCTTTAATGTAGTATCACACCTCCTACAGGCCACATGACAGAACTGCTCATCCATCTATCAATCTATGAGACAAAGTTTTGACAGTGTGACTTCATTACATAAAAAGGCAATAACATGAATATTTACAACCACACGACTTGAGACTTTACAAAATATTATGTGATTATCATCCAAAATAAGCAATCTACATTTACTGGTCTTTTTTCACAAATCTAAGATGTATAAAAGCTATTTAGACAAATACAACTGTCTAAAGCTTATACTAAAACATGTCTGAAAACAAGATCCTAAAATATTATTTCAGTTGTGAACTAATAATTATTTACAAAGCTCTAAGAATGTATAGCTGCATTAAGAGAGAAGTTTGTGCCTCAGTGTCTTCTCTGTGTCCTCCAGCCGTAACCCTCGGATTCAAATGCTCTTTGTCAGCAATCAGCCGCCCTGCCAACCGATCGGATGAGAGGAAATCCACTGCATACAGATTTCAACATCAGCTGCCAAACATAATGATCCAAGCTAGAACGGTCCTGAGGGACAGAGCAGTTCCAGCGACACTCACTGGCCGGAGGAGGGCGCTCTGGAGCCGCCGTCACCTGCTTCAGTAAACAGCTTCATCTATGTTATCATCACTGTCTCCTCCAAACTCGTCTCCATTGTCAAAGTGGGACATGATGTAATCTGTTTCCTGTTACACACATACATAGGATTAATTGGCTAAAACTTGTATTGAATGTTGGTTTAATACAGGTTCACCTCAGTCAATAGCATTTGTGGTATAATATTGATTACTACACAATATTCTAAAAGGGCAAAATCAAGGTTATACTGAGGAAGTAAATGGGAGATTTTTTTTAGAGGCTTTAAAAGCTTATAAGTTTATAACAGCACATAGATGATTTTTTCTTTTAACAATTGTGTATTATTGCAGCTATACTATTAAACTATTGAGTATTTAAATATTAATGAATTCACTTTCATTGTAAGAGTCTCACTGTAACCCAGATTTGACCCCTTTTTTGGTAAATAAAAGGAGGGACAAGTCGAAACAATTATTTTGCAGAACATTTACCACACATACTGTCAATCTATTATTTTAAACTAAAACTCATTAATTGAAATAAAGCTGAAATGAAATATAATGAAATGTGGCCTTAGCAACTAACTGGAATAAAATAAGTTTTAACTGAAGTGCTAAAATTACTTAAACTTTATGTACGTATAAATACATACATACATATATAAAAGACAATAGCATATAAAATTACTCAAATGAAATATATATGAAAAAAAACAATTAAACAATTAAAAATATTAATAATTGGTAACATTTTACAATAAATTTATTTTGTTAACATTAGGTAAGTATATTAGTATACATGAGCTATCAATGAAAAATACTTCTAAAGCCTTTATTAACCTTTGTTGATGTTAATTTCAACAATAACTAATTATTAAAATTAAAACTTGTATCTGTTAATATCATTTAATGGACCTGAGCTAACATGAACTAACAATGAAGTTATATTTTTATTAACTAACAATAACAAAGATTAATGAACACAGTAACAATTTCGTACTTACTGCTAGTTAATGTTAGTTACTGCATTAACCAATGTTAACTAATGGAACCTTGGTGTAAAGTGTCACCGATAAATCCTAGTATAAGAGTATATAATAAAAAATACTAAAATAACACTGCTGCCAGTTGAGGCTTTCTGGTATTAAACCTATAATATTCCTTTAAGCTAAAATCAACTGGACTTAAATTAAATTAAATTTAAAATTAAATTAACTGCAGGTCCTTTTTTCCATTTCTTTACTTTCCCTGTTGATCTTGATCAAACATACTGGCTTAATATCACAACAGAATGGAATAACTTACATCCTCAAATTCCTCCTCATCATACCCTTCCTCTCCCTCAGCCTCTTCCTCTTCTGGCTTCTTTTTCTCTCCCTCCTCTTCATCAGAACTCCCGTCTTCCTCTTTCTGCTCCAGAGTCTTAATAGAAACACACACATTCTGTTCATATGCACATTATATCTGTGAATGTGTAACAAAGTAGATTAAAACTCTTTATTTTTGAGTGCTTTACACATTAACGGCACCCTAAACAGGTATTTGTGCACCTCCAGTTTGCGTATGATCTCCTCTTTGTCCACTCGTGGCTGTTTGGGTTGTTTGGGAACAGCTGGGCTTTCTGCAACCATATAAGCAAAACCGTGTTTTTGACTGTGGAAATGACATCAGCAACATCTTCCCATAATAACATCAACTCATTGATCACAGCTCCTCTGACAAAAGACACAGAAGGACTAAAAATAATCTTCTCTCCTCTCTTGGTGACAGACGCTCTTCAAGCCTAAACCTTCATCCCTCTCTCATCTCCTCTTTCTCTCCATCCTTTCATTCTGGAGATGTGTGTGCAGCGCGGCTGAGAGCCATCTCTCTGATTTCCCCAGAGACGCCGATGAGTCAGAGAGCGAAGCGCAGACCTGCTGGTTCGGCTCGTCTTTACACACTCATTCATGAGCGCATCAGCCTCACCTGCTCCCTTATCTGGGTTTTAAAAGAGCACATTTACAAACGCATGCTTCCTGCACTGGGCGTCTCTGCTCGATTGCAGCAGAACACAGTGTCCAGTATTAGAGCGTAAGAGCCAGTTAACGGCATCAGACACACTCACTGTCTCTCAGGGGTCTCTTCTCTCTCATGCGCAGCTCCTTCGGAAAACGCCTCCAATCTAAAACACACAAATGGATGTAGAGGATCACACAAGTGTGCAGAGACGCAAGTGAATCGGTGTCGATATTGAAAACTAAGCTATTAAAAACATTTTTGTTAACTGAAATTAAGCTGAAAAAAACATATAAATATTACATAAAAAACCAAATGAAATTTATAAAATGTTGACTAGCTGGAATAAGATTAAGTAGTAAAATTAATAACTGAAATGATACATTTAATAACTGAATACATTTACTAATTGACACAGTTAAAATAAAAATACATTTAAAAATACTATTTAGTTTGTTTTTAATATTTTTTTTTTTGTTAAAATTAAAAAATGTATGTGTATTATATGAGCTGTGAAGTTGTTCTCATGATTTTTTACAGTTTTAGTGTTTAGGCTTTATGTTGTCATGAAAACAAAGTTATAAAATTAAATATAACTATACACAGAAAAGGTTAGTGATTTATATACAAGCATATTGTTTACATCGTGTGGCTATATTATTAAAACATTGTATTTTAACAGTTATGGATTCACCTTCATTGTAAGTATCTTACTGTAACCCAGATTTTTTACCTTATTTGGTCAATAAAAGGAGGGACTTATCGAAATTAATTTTTGTGGAAATCAACATTACGTAAAAATGACAAAAGCACATAAATGGAAAATTACTAAAAAATAAACAAATTAAAACGGTTAAATATAAAAGCTAATTTAACATAATTTAAAAAACTCTAATAAAGCTTATTATTAATAACTATAAAAAAGCTATAGTAAAGCTATAATATGTAGTAGCATATAAATAATACTAAAATAGCACTGAAGTGAATCGCTTGAGATAAATCACTCACCTGGCTTCCATTCCAAACTGTTATCAGAGGTTTCAATTTTCTGGTATTTGTCAGAGTAACGCTCCACATCTGTCAACAGGAAAAAATAACTTAAAATTGCTAATCACACATTGCTCTAGAAAGGGGTCTTTACACTTATTGTGAAAATTTACCATGAATTTTGTCAGAAAAAATGTAATGCTTTACTATACAGTATAGACCAATTTAGATAAAGGGAAAAAATTCTGTAGGTTTTATATCTTTGATCTGTGAAAAAAAAAAGAAAACATTTCAAATACATTTCAAAAATTGTATAAATGACACAGTCTGAAACTTGGAATACAAATATCTGTCTCAAAAACACTGCGTTTTGTATTCCTAAAGTCTGTATAGCAAAGAAATGCAGGATGTCTTAAAGGGGTCATATGATGCAATTTCAAATTTTCCTTTTTCTTTGGAGTGTTACAAGCTCTTGGTGCATAGATAAGATCCCTAAAGTTGCAAAGACTAAAGTCTCAAACCCAAAGAGATATTCTTTATAAAAGTTAAGACTTGGCCACGCCCTCCTAAAACGCCTCGTTTAAACACGCCCCCACATGTCTATGTCACTGTGTGGGAAGATTTGCATAACGCCGCCCAAATGTTCACGCAAAGAAAGAAGGCGTAACTTTTATTCTCGCTGTAGTATTGTTGTTGCCGCCGCCGCCATGTCGTGAAGATGCTGTGTTTCGTTGTGAAAGTGAAACTACTTTGTTTGGCCTTCCAAAAGAGGACGATATCCGCTTCATCATGCCTAGAGCTGATCCGTGCTGGTCGCTGAGGAAATACATCAACTTCGCGCTGTGGATCGCTGGATCGGCTTTCACCGTGGACGAAGCGGAGTCCAGCCCGGGGTCGTCACATGTGGTTGCCGCAAGCCCGCCGGCCGCTCCTTCGTCGAATCTGCCGGCCTCCGCTCACTCTAGCCCGCCGTGTGTTTCGTTGTGAAAGCGAAACTACTTTGTTTGGTCTTCCAAAAGATTCAAACACGAGTTTTGAGCAGTGTAGAGTAGCGCTTGTTGTTTGTAATTTCTCCTATCACAAATGCAGACATGGTTTTATGTTTACGCGGCACGATATAAGTCATTATAATCAGTAATTTTGTTCCCACTGGATGCAACAAATGCCTCGTTTGTAATGGGATTTATTGGTTTTGTCTCGTTGCGCCGGGACACATGGAAACCATAGACTGTATGATGGAAACACAGTATGGTAGGAGCGTAACATTTCCGTCACACGCTTGAGGTATTCAGCCAATCACAACGCACTGGATAGCTGGCCAATCACAGCACACCTCGCTTTTTCAGACCGATGAGCTTTGTAAAAATCGACACGTTTCAGAAAGGCGGGGCATAGAGGAGAAACAATAATGTACAGTATGTGGAAAATAATTGTGTTTTTTTAACCTTAAACCGCATAAACACATTGCATTACACCAAATACACAACATAATGTTCTTTTTAGCAAAGTCATATGCCCCCTTTAAAGATGTCGGAGCTCATCTTTGACGCCAAACTTACCTTTCTTGGGTGCAGCTGGACGGATGTAAAAGGGGAGCGTCTTCATGGCTCCTCTGAACTCCTGTTTGAGTGCCAGCATGTACTCGGCCTCCTCACCCGTCTGCAGGGGCACCGGCTTCTGATCCAAAGGCTGAAACATCAAACAGAAGTGAGGAGGGACCACTGATACACATCTGTCTAGTATCAGGGGTCAAACAAGCACCTGTTGGGACAGTTCACTCCAGAGGCAGACAGTAACTAAGTACATTTACTTGAGTATTGTACTTAAGTACACTTTTTGAGTATCTGTACTTTACTTGAGTATTATTTTTTTCTGGAAACTTATGACTTTAACTTCACTACATTTGAAAGACAAATATTGTACTTTTCACTCCACTACATTTCTATCAAGGTCCTTGAAGTAGAAAGTCGTTTCTATGTAGCAGCTGTGAAAGTCAGTGGGTGATTTTTTTTTCCTCTAAAATGTGACTTTCTTTTTTTCAGACAGTTTATCAGTAATCACTCTTGTAGGGCTACATTAAGTGATTTCCCAACATTTTTTGAACACAGTTGCAAATACGATATTTATTTACAATTAAATAATAAGAAGTCAACATTGTGGTATACATTAGACACAATATTGTCTGATTTTGCTAAATTGTGTAAGTGAAAATATTACCTATAAAGCCACAGAAGAACTGTTGTGTGTCTCCTAATAAAACACAATAGGTGTTGGACTTGAAGCAGCACTGCACAGACCGTTCTGTGTGTGACATCAAAGTACAGCGAGAGCGATTAGACAGCATTTTTAAAATGTTTGTTTTGATGTCAAATAAGTCTTGCTGTTTTGCTTTTTTGTTAAAGCAGTGTTGCTGTTGTAAAGTTATACAACTACAGTTGTGTTGCTGGGTTTTAAAGCAGGTTTGATTTCTTTTTCTTCCTTATCACTCTGTATGTACAGCAATTTCACTGTCTACTCTGTTCAAATGTGGATGAATGGCTACACATAGATGTTGTCACACACTGTCAGAGCTGTGGGCCAATTCCAAACAGAAGTGAGCATCCTTATGCCCTACTCCCTTCCAAGGGCAGAGCTATCTAACAACCACGTTTGTCTTAATTATCAACAGTATTTTTTCTTTTTATCATTTTAAACCTGCACTTATGTTTGTAAATAAGTTTTGCGTGTGCACTTTTTTTAAATGTAATTTATTTTTATTTTTTATTAACGTGTGCTATCTTTCTAAAATAATATTGTCATTGTGTTGTGATGTCTCGTTACTGACTATTTGTTCACAGTTCTTCATGTGACAGTTTAACAGGAGAGGACTTCGTTGGCTGTGATTTCTGTAGCTCAAACAGTAGCGCACGATGTCAGCAACGCCAAAGTCCTGGGTTCGACTCTCAGGTAATGCAAGAACGAATACAGTATAAGCAGCTTAGGATAAAATCGTCTGCCAAGTGCATTGATGTAATGTAATATAATGAGTATCAGTTCGACGAGGTTTTATTCTATCTTTAAACACTCACAGGGAATAGAGGGGTCGGCTGGACGGAGGATGGAGGGAGATTTTCTCCTTTACCGATTCCAACAATCTCCACAGAGAAAGTGAGCTGCCCTCTGCCCCTTCCTGCCATTATCTGAGGCACAATCACCACATATCACATTATTAATCATACATCTGATATAGCCTATTTATTTCATATTCCATTTATATCATATCGAATTCCGCTGCAAAAATAGACATTAAGACCAAACTGATGTAAATATTTTACATAGTGTGAATATTGTTTGCTAAATATGTTTTTATTTAATTATGTATTTGTTTAAGACCGAAATGTAATATTTAAACACGCCTCGCTCACTCACAGACAAAAAAGCGATGAAATCCCTCTTTATTTATAACTTAATTCCATTGTGCAAAGCATTTATTAGATAATCCGTAAATATTACACGCAGTTGGTTTTCATAGAAATTCAGGATTTATTGTTGTAGAATTGAGCAGTAAAATCAACCGCCAATGCATGTTTGTTTTTGCCCGCTGCGGAAAATGTTCCTTCCAGAAACGAGCGCGCGTTCACTTATGGTTCCGCTTCTGTCTGATGTTAAATTAAATCAATCCTAATCAAAATGAGTCATGCAGAACGAACAACTCAATTTAAAAAAACAAAATGTGAACAGCTCTGATGGAGGATCAAATGCAAAACCATTTTTTTTCATCTGCATTATGCAAGGGCTGATTTGTTAAAACTAGCACATTTTATACAATACGTTTCTTAGTTTTACCATGACTTAATATATTTTATGCCTTTCAATTATATTGCTATAAATATTACTTTTCATCCTTGTTCCTTCACTCGCTTCCCATCGTAAAAAATAAACAAACAAACAAACGCAACAACATAAATATATTAATTATTACTACAACTATTTATTACTTTGAAACTATGGTTATCTTAAAAAAAAAAAAAAGATTGCATTATTTACTAAAAAACTGGATGAAATTAATTTTTTGTTCATCCTACAGATGTTTCTATCATGTCCAACAATTTTGCCTCATAATAAAGTTTTCTCCAGAGTTAATGTACTTTGCTACCAGGGACACAAAAGTGTTGGGGAAAAGCATTCTTGTCATTAAATATGAGGTATGTTATGTGTAAAGAAAAATGAGATTAAATATTGCGTTGCGCATCAAGCTAGAATTTTGTCAAACTGTGAAGAAAAAGTGTGAAAATATTATTTAAATGTGTTTATTTATGATACATAAAATTGAGCTATAAAAATGCCTTAGCACGTCACCCACTTTATTTTAAAATTTTTAAAATGACATTTTAGAATAGTATCAAACACAAATATTTGAAATGTGTGTTCATGACATTTCAGAAAAATGTGTTGCATGTGTATGATTGGACATTTTTATTAGACAAAAGTAATGAACTAATGGGAGTGAAAAAAGTTTTTTTTGTTTATTTTCTAAAAGTAGATTCTAAAAGTCCCATATTCATCACAACAGTTCCATTCTAATCTGTGCTGACGAAGCTCCTCGCAGCACTGAAATGCTTTTCTAGAAAACCTGGAAACAGTTCAAATTCAGCTAAATCTGCATTTGTTAAAAAAGAGAAAAAAAGAATGAAAGGAAAACTAACTGTGATATTGCTGACTCACAGCCTCCCCTGTCAAAATCAGAAAATATGTGAGTATGAGAGACAGAAATTAGGCATGAGCTCATTTCAATAAGGTAAACTCATTTGAACAAAACACAACATAAAACCTAAAAACATTAATTGAAATATTGGGACATAACATTCAAACTGTAATTTAAATCTAAGCATGGAGAGCAAGAGCACATTCACTACTATAACCTCTCTCTCTCTCTCTCTCTCTCTCTCTCTCCTGCAGCATGTGCATGTCACTGTGGGAATGCTTCTGTCGGAATCCACTGAATCAGTTGCCATAGAAACTGTGTTCAATAATAGCTATAGTCACTGAATTAGTATTTATGCAGTCTGAGAATTGTTTCACACCCCCTGCTTTCTTGCAGAGAGGGCCTTGATATATATTTAGCCCCAAAAATGAAAAATAAAAAAGGCAAGCAAAAATCCAGATTTATGTTGAGGGAGAATATGCACCTCTGCAAATGTGTGTTAAGTGCATTTTAGCGTTGACCTAATACACGCCATCTTTACTCTGCAAAGCCGGCACACAGGTTGCATACTGTACATGCATTTACACAGATTGCACAAATATATCATTAAAGTACTTCAAAGATAAAATTATGAATAAAAAAGATTCTAAAATAAATGCTCTGTCATGACAACAAGGCTGCACCAATGCTGCATCATTTACATTCATCACTGGGTGCTTAAGTGGGTCAAGGCTGGCATATTTTATATTTTTGCATGGGTTTAATGCGCCATTGTGTCTTTATGCAAAATTTAGAGCAGGCACAGAGCCTGCTCAGAGCAGCCTTAACTTGACTATGTAAAGCACTTGCACACATTGCTTAAATGTTATCATGTATCAAATCACAGCATGCAGAATTTGGTCTATTTCTTAGACAAGACTATTATTATTATTATTATTATTATTATTATTAATATTGTTGTTGTTGTTGTTATGGTAAACTCATTGAACATCTGCACCAAATTGTATTCTCTACATCTGCTTGTGAGAAACAGCACACCATGGCAAACAAATGCAGGTGTGCATCAGAAAACCAGGGATAAACTTAAAATGATCAAAGAATTAAAATAATTGAATAAGTTTCCCCCTAGTGGAAAGCAGAGATGGTCATGTGCATGTGAACAGTCAGTCAGTCAGTGGTTTGCTTGGTGAAGCTGGACCTCAGTGCGTCTGTGCGTGATCGTGGGAGCCTCGCATCAGCTCACTGCCCACTCCACGCCCCAGCAGAGTCTCCCAAACTCTCGGTCGCAGGAGGAGAGGGGATGTGGGGGATGTAAGACACGGGGATCAGCAGACAGCAGCTGGATTCTCGGGCTAAAATCGGCTGCTCTGATGGCGTGAAGACAGCAGATACACGGTGAGACTCTGTCAAGATACTCTCCTGCAAATGTTGCTTTCAAAATGCTCTTCGTGTTTAGGAAAACATTTACTGTTATTATAATTATTATTATTTCATTTATATTTTGTATTATTCTCAGCTGAGCATGGCCATAATTAAGCAGACTTCAGTCCTTCATATTGCAGCGATATCTTAACATTCCATTGCACTGTCTTTCTTATTATTTACGTTTCAAACCACTTTTATAGAGCGATTTTCGAGTCGTTCGATGTTGTGAAGCATGCAAACGACTATCATTTTTTGCTGGCATGTCTGCATTATGCAAGGGCTGATTTGTTAAAACTAGCACATTTTATACAATACGTTTCTTAGTTTTACCATGACTTAATATATTTTATGCCTTTCAATTATATTGCTATAAATATTACTTTTCATCCTTGTTCCTTCACTCGCTTCCCATCGTAAAAAATAAACAAACAAACAAACGCAACAACATAAATATATTAATTATTACTACAACTATTTATTACTTTGAAACTATGGTTATCTTAAAAAAAAAAAAAGATTGCATTATTTACTAAAAAACTGGATGAAATTAATTTTTTGTTCATCCTACAGATGTTTCTATCATGTCCAACAATTTTGCCTCATAATAAAGTTTTCTCCAGAGTTAATGTACTTTGCTACCAGGGACACAAAAGTGTTGGGGAAAAGCATTCTTGTCATTAAATATGAGGTATGTTATGTGTAAAGAAAAATGAGATTAAATATTGCGTTGCGCATCAAGCTAGAATTTTGTCAAACTGTGAAGAAAAAGTGTGAAAATATTATTTAAATGTGTTTATTTATGATACATAAAATTGAGCTATAAAAATGCCTTAGCACGTCACCCACTTTATTTTAAAATTTTTAAAATGACATTTTAGAATAGTATCAAACACAAATATTTGAAATGTGTGTTCATGACATTTCAGAAAAATGTGTTGCATGTGTATGATTGGACATTTTTATTAGACAAAAGTAATGAACTAATGGGAGTGAAAAAAGTTTTTTTTGTTTATTTTCTAAAAGTAGATTCTAAAAGTCCCATATTCATCACAACAGTTCCATTCTAATCTGTGCTGACGAAGCTCCTCGCAGCACTGAAATGCTTTTCTAGAAAACCTGGAAACAGTTCAAATTCAGCTAAATCTGCATTTGTTAAAAAAGAGAAAAAAAGAATGAAAGGAAAACTAACTGTGATATTGCTGACTCACAGCCTCCCCTGTCAAAATCAGAAAATATGTGAGTATGAGAGACAGAAATTAGGCATGAGCTCATTTCAATAAGGTAAACTCATTTGAACAAAACACAACATAAAACCTAAAAACATTAATTGAAATATTGGGACATAACATTCAAACTGTAATTTAAATCTAAGCATGGAGAGCAAGAGCACATTCACTACTATAACCTCTCTCTCTCTCTCTCTCTCTCTCTCTCTCCTGCAGCATGTGCATGTCACTGTGGGAATGCTTCTGTCGGAATCCACTGAATCAGTTGCCATAGAAACTGTGTTCAATAATAGCTATAGTCACTGAATTAGTATTTATGCAGTCTGAGAATTGTTTCACACCCCCTGCTTTCTTGCAGAGAGGGCCTTGATATATATTTAGCCCCAAAAATGAAAAATAAAAAAGGCAAGCAAAAATCCAGATTTATGTTGAGGGAGAATATGCACCTCTGCAAATGTGTGTTAAGTGCATTTTAGCGTTGACCTAATACACGCCATCTTTACTCTGCAAAGCCGGCACACAGGTTGCATACTGTACATGCATTTACACAGATTGCACAAATATATCATTAAAGTACTTCAAAGATAAAATTATGAATAAAAAAGATTCTAAAATAAATGCTCTGTCATGACAACAAGGCTGCACCAATGCTGCATCATTTACATTCATCACTGGTGCTTAAGTGGGTCAAGGCTGGCATATTTTATATTTTTGCATGGGTTTAATGCGCCATTGTGTCTTTATGCAAAATTTAGAGCAGGCACAGAGCCTGCTCAGAGCAGCCTTAACTTGACTATGTAAAGCACTTGCACACATTGCTTAAATGTTATCATGTATCAAATCACAGCATGCAGAATTTGGTCTATTTCTTAGACAAGACTATTATTATTATTATTATTATTATTATTATTAATATTGTTGTTGTTGTTGTTATGGTAAACTCATTGAACATCTGCACCAAATTGTATTCTCTACATCTGCTTGTGAGAAACAGCACACCATGGCAAACAAATGCAGGGGTGCATCAGAAAACCAGGGATAAACTTAAAATGATCAAAGAATTAAAATAATTGAATAAGTTTCCCCCTAGTGGAAAGCAGAGATGGTCATGTGCATGTGAACAGTCAGTCAGTCAGTGGTTTGCTTGGTGAAGCTGGACCTCAGTGCGTCTGTGCGTGATCGTGGGAGCCTCGCATCAGCTCACTGCCCACTCCACGCCCCAGCAGAGTCTCCCAAAC